CCCAAAAAATCATCCTATGGAGACCTAGGGGAACAACAAGAAGTGTGGGCCGACCAAAAGAGAGATGGGTCGATGACGTCAGGGCGGGAAGACAATGGATAAGATTGGCTAGAGATCGCGAAGCGTGGTAAAACCTAGAAGAGGCCTATATCCAACACTGGATAGAACCAGGCTGAGAAAGAAGAAGAAGATGGAGAATTAAAAAATGAACATTTGTTGCATAACTGTAACTGTAACTGTAACTGTAACTGTAACTGTAACTGTAACTGTAACTGTAACTGTAACTGTAACTGTAACTGTAACTGTAACTGTAACTGTAACTGTAACTGTAACTGTAACTGTAACTGTAACTGTAACTGTAACTGTAACTGTAACTGTAACTGTAACTGTAACTGTAACTGTAACTGTAACTGTAACTGTAACTGTAACTGTAACTGTAACTGTAACTGTAACCGTAACCGTAACCGTAACCGTAACCGTAACCGTAACCGTAACCGTAACCGTAACCGTAACCGTAACCGTAACCGTAACCGTAACCGTAACTGTATCGGTAACTGTAACTAGAACTGTAACTGTATTTTTCTTTATCAATTTATCTGGGTAGCTCAAGAAGTGTGAGTGGATTGGGATTTTTTTTTAAATATATGTGTGTGACTATTGTTAGATGGAGAATTAAAAAATAAACGTTTTTTATAGTTAAAGTATTTCAAAATTTTTTTATTTTCAAATTCGCCCTGTTTTTCACGAACTAAACGAGCTAGGACAAGTCTGTATGTAGCATCTTTAGTTTCATAAAAAAGTTTTTTTTCCTTGTATACTCAGAAACGAGAAACTCCATAAAACACACGAAAATGGGACACCCGGTACATCGTATTAAATCGTATTTATTTTTATAGTTTATTTTATAAGTAATATAGTATCATTTATATCTACTAAAAAAGAATATAAAGAGAGGTAAAACTATTTCTTTACTTTAAAGCTTTTTTAAAGCACTGGTTGCAACTTGCAAACTAATGAGATTCAGTTTCATTATTTCGTAAGCTATGCAAAACTTTATTAAGAGGAATGATGAAAGTATTGCGATATAAAATAAGAGAACGAATAACATTTTAGTTGTTTGGAACAAAAGAAATATTAGCAAACGGTCCAGTGCAGTGTATAATTTTTAGTCATTCTGTCCTTGGAAGTGACGTACCTAACGACCTGTAAATTATTGTGAGAGATTAGTCAGATAACGACACATACTTTATAGTAGTGATGGGATAACTCGAGCGAAAATTTAAAATTTTTTTTCGCCGAGCGAATTTGCCACATACATTGCAGGTAGCAAATTTATACGACGCCGTATATATATTTATCCGTTGCGTATCTGAGGGAAAATATTTTACGACCTACATCGACAATGCGTTGAAATAAACTGAATCAAGCGGAAGTGATCAAGCGAATCGCTCGCCGCGCGCCCGCCTCTTGCTACTTGCCATTCATCACTGCACACGCAACTTACTGCTTGGCGCTTGACGTTAACAAGTACTTACAACAAGCGACGGGTGAAAAACCGTATTTTTAAATACGAGTGATATTTCGCTCGAGCGATCACTCGGTTATTGCATTCGCTTGAAACTCGAGTATTCGATTATTAAAATTAATCGGTTTTTCCCATCACTACTTTATAGTACAAAACTGTGGGGGAGTAAACGAATATCCAGGACTGAAGCAAAAAGGGGCTGAGAAGCACCTGAAGATTTAGGCACCAGAACTCACCTTTTAGAATATACCGGGTGCGTCTCAAAAACATCTCACCTCTATAACTTTCTTATTTTTTTAGATAAAAAGAAACGAGATTTGGTATATTAGTATATGACATAAATTAGGATCGATTGACGTATTCAGTTGTTTTTGATCACTTCCGGTTTCACAGTAAATGACTACAACTTTTGATTTTTAAATGACGCCCTCATTATTTTTTAATTTATTCAATAGAAAATGACACTCTGAATAGAATGACATATCATGTGCCAACTCTTGACATTTCCGCATATATGGTTTATTTTAAATTGTAATATGTGGTTCATGACTACAATTTGACTCAAATTACCAAGTGTGTGGTACCAAATTATTCGTAAGAAACGCTTTTTCCAAATATGCTAATGAGCCACCCTGTTCCATTTGAAAAATGGTAAAAAATGAAATATGGTAAAAAATACGATTTGGGCATCTTTTAATCCGCCAGGACAAGACACGAAAAACATTAGACGATCAAATCTATTTTTCCAAGACTCCTTAATTAAAAGTTAGTGTTTTAACGCAGTCGTGGCGTGGCACTCTAAACTGAAATTTAAAATATCAAAAGTTGACATATGATATGTGATTCTATTCAGGGTAAAAATAAGGGTAAAGTAAAAAAATAATTAAAGGTAAAGTAAAAAAATACAAAAGGTGTCATTTAAAAATCAAAAGTTGTAGTCATTTACGGTGAAACCGGAAGTGACCAATAACAATTGAATACGTCAATCAATCCTAATTTATATCATATACTAACATATCAAATCTCGTTTTTTTATCTGAAAAAATATAAATGTTATCGCACCCAGTATTGTCATCACTTCTGATCTGGCAGGTCAGCTCAAAAATAAAAAGAAAAAAGTTTTTTTTTTATAGGTGTACCACCTTCAAAGAAGAAAGCTGAACATCTGATAGAGAAACGAACTAACAGAAAAATTAAAACAAAAGTGCTGCGCCGCGCCATCACGACTGACTAATTTTCAAGATCGACGAGGACCTCCTTTTGGATTGCAATAAAAACCGAATGCAACCGAAGAAATGTTCGGTAAACTGGCAAATCAGAGCTTACAACTGAACAACTTCTTTATAGGGAAATTAAGACAACTTTGGGTGCACGTGATCAATGACACCATGCTGGTGGTCGTATTATGATGTGCAACCGAAGTTATTTAAATTTCCCTATATATGATAACTGCTTTCTTACCCCAACCACTGCTTACTTCAATCTCATATCTTCAAAAATAACAAATATGAGACATGTATGTGTTATAAAACACTACCATAAGAAATGTATATTTGAATAATATCTTCTAAATAAGAAAGAAAATAAAATACAACAAAACATAAAACAACACCTAATAAAACAAACTTTCGTAAAAGTCAAACTACCCTTAACCTACCGACTGAAATAACATCTGGAAACTCGTAAAGTTTAAAAGAGTCATAGTTTCGGGAAAAAGAAACATCCACAAAAAAGAAATTTAACGTGAACGAATACGATTTTTAGCAGTCCGGATGACAAAAAGCGTGGAAAACTTTGCAAAAATTTGGACCTTCCAATCGAACCCTATTTAGCCGTATAGCAACAAACATCCTAACAAAAAATAAGACATTAATAAAATGTTGTTTTTTTTTCAAACAATTCTAAAAGTCAGCTATCCTTAACTTACCGACATGTGCTGGCTTGACAGCTAACAGAGTTGAGAGAACATTAAGTAAAAAGTAATTTAACGTGAATAAATGACATGTTTGCCTGTCCTAATGACTTGGACCTTTCCACCGAGCGATACATGCTATTCAGAAATTAGTATATTCTCCTCGATATTCTCTTTAATTGGTAAAAAACATCTACTATGTAAGCCTTGTTAGTATAATATATCTATCATCATGTCAAACAACTAATAAATAAGCATTTAGTATATAGATCGATACAGTATGTCCCGGGATTGTCTTTACAAGAGGAAAAACTTTTTTATTATTGACATTTTGAGACAAATGCATTCTTCATAAAAACTTTTCTAGAATAAGTTCTATAAAATTCTAGAAGAGTTGTTCTAGAATGGTTAATCCCCTATATAATTTTCCAAATTTCCATACTGTTTTAGAGAAAATTAAAAAAGAACATAAAAATATGGTTGAATTTTTAGAAACCCTAAAAATCAAAACGAGTTTCTATGGTAAATAATAATACTAAATGGAAATTACATTTCGTTTTTATTCTTTGATAGATTGTTTTTGATTAAATTTTAATTAACGTCATTGTCAAGGATTACGGATCTGTGGCGGAATACATGTCTCTGTGGCGGAGAGTTATTTTATTGTTGCCAACTTCACATGCGACCACAGACCACAGATAATAGTTTTGATATTTAGTGACATGTAATATTAAGCTACATTCGCAATCAATTCGCTGGCCGAGTGGTACTTTGGCACGCAAGCTTATCATATGTACTTCAGTGTAATCATTCACAACAAAATTCGACGCCAGAGTGCAAGTTGAAGTTGGATTGAAAGCTTGCAAGCTGCAAACTTCCACTTCAGCACGGAATTTTCGTTTGACAATTATGACAATTTTGACATTTAAATTTTAATAATTATTTTGTTTGTGTTGTTGTTACAAGCCATTTTCCTGTGAAAAGTAAATATTTATTATTAAAAGAAAATGAGTGAAGTGGACGCTATTCCTATTTTATCAGGACTTGTGGCTTTGCTGTTAAAAAAACGGCAATTATTGTTGCAGCTCAATAATTCGCTTGATCGTAAACCAAGGGGTTTACCAAAATCTAAAAAATGGGGCGTCCGACCCATATTAATGGCGAGAAAAAGTTTTGGGTGCTACGAAAATCTTTTACAAGAAGCTCGCTTAAGCAATCCCATAATTGAGACACATTTTAGAAAAAAATCATCACTAAATGACGTTCTTGTTTCCATTTTTCTAAACATAAAAACTTGGAAAACTTAATTAACAACTGTTCCGGATTTTGCCTCTTCCATATGCTCTTCCAAAATAAAAACAAACAACTAACCTAAAAAAATGTCAGGAGACGTTTAAACACGCGTGCGCAAAATTCGACTTGAAATTTGTTGTGAATGGTTAATTTCGTGCCGACTTTAATGTCGAATTGCCACTTGGCCAGCGAATTGATTTCGAATGTAGCTTTACTGTATCTATTAACTTTTGTACTCTTTGTATCATAAAAATTGGTAACACGTTTAATTTAAAACAAAACCGTATATTTTATTTTGGAAGACATAAATTACCCAGAAATAGTTCACTCAACGTTAAAATAAACCGAACATTGGTCCTTCGAGCCGGATGGTCTCAAGAAGCAAGGAAATTGGTCAGAAAAGCCGACAAGAATCAAGTGAGTCCCTTTTTGTCCTTTTAACCTTCATTACCGTAGTGAGATCATAATCATTTTGAACTGTAGCTTTGTGGAATTTATTGTCTTTATAGCGAATTAGGTTTAAACCAGTTTTAAACAAATACGATTAAAAACAAACAGCTTATTATCGATATGACAGAAATTGAGAGATTAGTACGGAGACGAGCAGCCTTTAAGGCTCAGATAACAATCCTAAACAATTATCTAAACGAGTTAGAGGGTAAGTTTATAAATGCTAATATAACCGACGATATAATACTTACAGAACTATCACAGCGTAAAGATCGATTTATCAATTTAATTGAGAAACTTGATGAGGTACAATTGCAAATAGAAGAAATTACCACAAATTTTGATGTAGAACTAGATGAACGCACAGCATTTGAATCAGATTTCAATAAAACATTAGCACGAGCAAGGTATTTCTTGCAGAAAAGTAAAACGACTAATATTGAACAAGACAATGATAATCTTTCTTCTCAAAGATCAGAAACGGGTTCTGATAATGTGGCCTTATGTCAAAATTTAAATAACCTCAAACTCCCAGCCATTGAAATTCCTACTTACGATGGTGATTACGATACTTGGCTTGAATTTAGAGACACGTACGAGTCACTAATTCATACAAATGTTAATTTATCTGATATACAGAAATTCCATTACCTTAGAGCATTTTTGGGTCCGCGTGTAAGAGAGATTATTGCTAGTTTGGCATTTTCTGCTTTAAATTATAAACCTGCTTGGGAATTAATTTGTAATCGTTTTAATAATAGTCGTATCTTAAAGCAAAATCATGTTAAAGCCTTATTTAATCTCAATCAGGTTCATGAAGAATCATCTCAAGCTTTAAGAAAACTTATTGACAATGTATCTAAGCATTTACGAGACCTCACCATTTTAGATGAACCTACAAACACATGGGATACATTGGTAATATATTTAATTTCTATAAAACTAGATAATGAGACATTAAAGCATTGGGAGGAAGCAAAATCTGGTTATGTAAATCCAACTTTAGATAATTTAACCACATTCTTGAAGCATCGAGCAGACATGTTGGAAACATTGGAACAAAGTAAGAATTCTAAACGAGTCATTCCAAGGTCAAAGGGTGACAATAAAACAAAAGCCTTTGTTGCATCAAAACCGTACTGTGTATATTGCAAAAAGGACCATTACATTCAAAATTGTGAGGCATTTGTAAGGTTATCAATCGAACAAAGACGAACACAAGCAATGAAAAATCACTTGTGTCTTAACTGTTTAAGGTTGGGTCATACAAGTAAAATGTGCTATGCAAGTTCCTGTAAAACCTGTAATGCTCGACATAATACCTTATTACATGAAGAACGAGTATCCAGTTCAGAATTTTTAGAATGAATTTAGAATGAATTTAGAATGAGTGGGAGGGGGTTAATCACTTCGACCTTACAGATCCATTGTGTCCCCCTTTCTTGAATCATAACTCATCATACAGTCCCAGGGCTTTGACAAAAGCCAGTATCTGGGACGGTTTTATAGAGGGTAGTTCTCCATCTCCAATATCAGTCGTACCAAAATTCATGGCACGAATGGTTGTCGTCTCGGCGCACTCAGTGATGAGGTGTACTGGTGTTTCACCATCTTCCCCACAGAATCTGCATTCGCCGTTTCTTCTTAGTTTCAATCTACTGAGGTGTTCATTGATGAGACAGTGTCCTGTTAAAAACCCCGTGACAATCCGAAGATTGTTCTTACTCAGACCCAGGAAGATCTGTGATTTTTTCTTGATCATAAGCCCTCAGAAACTTCTTCGAGTGTCCTAGACCATTGCAAGATTTCCATTCCAGGTTGCGGATGGAATCTTCCAAGTTCTTGAGTTCCGCCTTGAGTTGGTTACCACTTGGAAAGCAGAACGGTTCTGGTCCAGTTAGTGGAGTGTTCGCTCCTTTCCTAGCTAGATTATTTGCTTTTTCATTGCCTTCTATCCCTTGGTGAGCAGGCACCCAGTGTAGGAGGACTTTGTTTTCTTTGCCTAATTTATTCAGCTTCTCTATGCATTCTTTGACCAATTTCGAATTGATTGATACTGAGTTGATCGCCTTTAACGCTGCTAGACTATCAGATAAGATGGCTATTTCTTGTTTCCGATAGTTCCTATCTAAGATAAGTTGTACGCATCTCTCGATAGCGTAGATTTCTGCCTGTAGGATACTAGAGTCAGGTAACAGAAATTACTAAAAAAAGACAGAAAACACTAAATTTTTGAGAAAATCTAAATCTTATAAATAATCGAACACCTGTTATAAAACTTTATCAATAAATATTTGATGTTAGTACCTTGCAAATGGGAAGGTATTACCAAAGTTTACAAAATGTAAATAAGTTCTGTACCTAAACTTTGGATTTACCAAAAACAAGTTTTATGTTATTTTTAACTGATTAAAAGCATCATTAATCTATATATGAGTTTGGGGGATAACATAAAGTGCAAATATTATCACAGAAAGGTTAGATAAGTTATAAAATATCGCGTAGAAATGAAAAAGGAGATGGAAGTTTGTAGCTATCTTTCTTGCATATTATCTTGACTTTTCTGATATTTTTGTATCTCTGGTGTATGTTTCCGATTTAATGTTTTTAAACACAACCAATGAATATTTCATATTTTTATAAGTACCATACAAATAGGAAAATGATACTAAAAAATAGATATCTATAAAGTTATGTGCCAATTTATTTTTTCCCAAACTTCGGTAAAAATTTAAAGTCAAACTACCCTTAACTTACCGACTGAAAAAATGGTTGAAGTCGAAAGTCCGGGATAGTCAAATAAAAGAAAATTCAACGTGAACAAATGCGATTTTTGGCTGTTTTTAGTTTTTAACTTTAAACTTTACCAATAATTATTTCATATTTTATTAGTACCTTATAAGACTATCACGACTCGTGTACTTGACCAACATTTGTTATTGACATTACACTTGTCATGTCATGTGAGGGGTTTTCTTGTGTAATTATTCGTCACTGGTCACGCCGCGTGAGCGCCAAGCTTGTCGATGTTGTTTACAAAGTGGGGACTGGTGGGGTCACTTGCCAAGTAGACTAGTCGTGAGAATGCGCCTTTAACTTAGTAGTAAATATATTATATTAGTAGTAAATATATTATATTAATTATGTTTATATGTAGTTTCTATAAATATAAAGCCAGCTCTCTTAGAAAATACAATCTCCATTTATTATAAATATTTGCATTTTAATTTTAGCGATTTTATTAAGTAAACATAATTGTTCCATGATCTCTCTATATAAAATACAGGGTGAGTTTCCTACGATGTTCTCTATGGGTATCTCGGAAACTACTGGAGATAGAGAGTCGGTTAAATGGGGAAAGAATTGCAGTTTTGTGGGGTCATAAATATTCGCCTTTCAGATTTTTGAAAAAGTTCATGGCTTACTAGATATTTAGAAAAAAACAAATTTCGGCTATTTTAAAAATTGTCCCTAATTCCATTATAAGCTATTTTAGACAAAAAGTTTTCAGATAAAAGTTGTAGATAATCACATCCTTAATGAGACTGTGTCCTCCGTTTTTTTCTAAAGCCTGTCATTTTTGACATTTGACACAAACATATGTTTTTTTTAAATGGAAACCATAGTTGGCCATGACTTTATAAAAAGTGCCATTTTTAAGCTTTTCAGTGATATAAGCTATAACATGTTTTCTTCGAAAAATTATCGAGTTATAGCCAATTCTTATCATTTTTAAATAATTTCTCTTAGTTAGTCATGGAAACAATCGTCTTTGCTCTTATAATTGTGAAGCTGCCACATCCAAACTTTGTAAATTAAAATAAACAAAAATTGTAAACATGAATTTTTCAAATGAAGAAAAGCGTGTAAGATTATTGGTTCAACTTTTCTTGACCATTTCGAGGATACGTTGACCGGTGAATGTTATGTTTTTTAGAGAACGATTTTCAAGACTTGTTAGAAAAGTTGAATTTAGTTATAGCCAATTCTTATTTCTCTTGACTAATTTCGCTTAGATTGCATGACATTCTTATTCTTTTGTGATTTATAAATTATAAAAAGTCAGAATATATTACTAAACGGTTCTTTAGAATTTACATTACACAAACTAAAACTTAAAAAAATAATATCGCTGCAGTCGAGTCACTGCATACACTTTTTTTTATTAGTTATTTTAGAAAATGTTCAAAAATTCCATTGTTTTGAGAGTTACATCTTTTTAAAACTGAATTATTACCTATTCTCACAAAAGGACCGGTTGATTTAATTAAACTTCTCTCGTACCGCCACTTCGAGTGCCTCCCTTAATTCATAAGTTCTTTTGTAAACCTTATTTTTAACCATACCGCATAAAAAAAATCTAAAATGGATAGGTCAGGTGATCGAGGAGGCCCATGCAATTAGTCCACCCTCTTCCTATCCCTGAGTTTATATTACTATGATATCAATAATTTTGAACATTTCTTTCATTATGCAGGGTGGGGGAGGGGGCATAATGAAAGTCATTTTGGAAACACTCTAGTGATGCGCGAGTATCTACACGCTATTCTTCATTTGAGAAATTCATATTTACAATTTTTGTTTATTTTAATTTACAAAGTTTGAATGTGACAGCTTCACATTTCTAAGAGTAACGGCGATTCAACTTGTTTCCATGGCTAACTAAATGAAATTGTTTAAAAATGATAAGAATTGGCTATAACTCAGTAATTTTTCGAAGAAAACATATTATAGCTTATATCGCTAAAAACTTAAAAAATGCCGCTTTTTATGAAGTCATGGGCAACTATGGTTTCCATTTAAAAAAATATATGTTTGTGTGATATGTCAAAAATGACAGGCTTTAGAAAAAAACGGAGGACACGATCTCATTAAGGATGTGATTATCTACAACTTTTATCTGAAAACTTTTTGTCTAAAATAGCTTATAATGGAATTAGGGAAAATTTTTAAAATAGCCGAAATTTGTTTTTTTCAAAATATCTAGTAAGCCATGAACTTTTTCATAAATCTGAAAGGCGCATATTTATGACCCCACAAAACTGCAATTCTTTCCTCATTTAACCGACTCTCTATCTCCAGTACTTTCCAAGATACCCATAGAGAACATCGTAGGAAACTCACCCTGTATATCTCAAGTATTATTTATTCTTTCAGACTGTGTTTCGGAGGACAAATTTAATAGAGGACCAGAGTAGAGGACTCTATACATCCACTAGTAGAGTCTTTTAGTTCGTAATTTGACTGTTTTGATTAGATAACTTTTTCTTGTATATTTTTTTTTATTTTGTATCTAATGGCAGTTTTGTTTCTATTTTGGTTAGGCTCAGAATACCAGTAAGGTTCTTCTAGACAAGAAGAGGTGGCAATGAGTATCTTACATACATAAGTTCTGTTTTGTGACTTTTTTTAACCGTTATAATAAATATTATAATTAGAAACACGTGTTTTATTTTTATTAATATTTACTAACGCTTTGTAAATTTACAAAAGTAATTGTAAATTCGCTTTGTGGATTTACAAAAGTAATTATTGTAAATTCACTATAATAAAATGTTTAAATTTGTTATTACCTATAGTAATACTACAAGAAGTTGGTGATATTATAAGATAAATTTACAATGAATAAGTAAATTTAATATGAGATACGCATTTTTTACATAAATTCACAAAGAATATTAATGAATATAAAGATGTATTATAACATATTTACATTCTTGCCACAAATTAGACATACAGCGATTTTACTTGTATATTATTATACTTATTTTCCTTCTTGTATATGTATTATGGATATTATTTCTTGTATATTTCTATCTTTCTTATATATTTATATCTCTGCTGTATATATACAATTTAATATTAAAAAAACTGCCAATGAATATTTAAAATTTTATATAAATATTTTACAAATAAAAAAATAATACCAAAAACCAAGTGACATTTATAAAGTCTCGTGCCAATTTCTTTTCTCGAACTTTCGTAAAAGTTAAAAGTCAAACTAGCCTTAACTTACCGACTGGAAAATGGCTGGAGTCGAAAGTCCGGAAAAAAGGGACATCCAATAAAAGGAAATTCGACGTGAACGAATACGATTTTCGGCTGTCCGAAGCTTCGGAAACTCCGCGAAAACTTGGACCTTCCGACCGTGCGCTACGTGCTGTTCCGGTATCGCTTTGGACGCGTTCGAATGGCGCGTGCTGAACGCGGACTGTGGCGACGCCGCCGACACGACGCTCACCCTCTTTCGGTGGTGGAGGAGCGTCCGTCGTCTAGTCATGCACCCTCAAACAGTGGCGCGCCGTGAAAAAAATCTGTTATACAATGTGTTTAAAAAAAACGATATAATTTTTTATGTGTGTTATTTT